CACTTCACAGCGCAAAGCAGAGATCACCCCAGCTAATTACAGAACAGGTAATATTAAAAAGCACTAGGTCTTGTAGTGTCTTGACAATTACTTCCTCACTAGGCTAGAGAGAGTCCTCATCTAGAGGTGTGTAGAGTCAGTATTAATTCAGGCCAAGCCTGGCCCAGACCATGCCAGCCTTCCTGATCCTTAACGGATGCTCCCTAGAAATCTGTTAAAAAGTCATTTACAAAAGTAGGCACAGATGTTTTATAGCTGCTACTGAAACACCCAACCCACCACTTTCTGTGTTACAGAATTAATAAAGAGCGTACTGAGGTAAAGAGTTGGCAGTGCTATATTAAAACCCCTGACTACACCATGTGATTTTTTTCTACAAAAAGGATATAGAAAAGAGGCCACTACTGAAGTTACAGGAATCAATATAGTTCTCATCACGAGAGATCAGTGTTTGGCTTACATGACAGACTGCACTGTATGGAGGTGTTACAGCGTATCGTGTTTATGTCTCAACTAGCATGCATCAAACTGTCTATCATCCCAAGAAGCATTCCTGAAAATGTGATGAGACAAGCAAAGCTAAGTCAGGTGTCAAAATCCACTTCTCAAAAATCAGAGGGGCCTTTTACAGAAATCTCGTCGTTCCATGCAGCAGAATGATTTTTTTCCCAGGAGAACTAAAGAGGTACGTACATAGAAAAGGCTCCAAAATACAAAGCTAGTATCCCAAAAGACAGCCATCTGAAGGCAGCAAAGGGCTTTATTTTTAAAAACGATATTCTATGGAAGGTAGTTGTCACTAAAGGCGGCTGCTAGTTTCTTCAGTGGTTCCATGTCTATTCTTTTACTTTCTTTAATTCTACAATTCTTTGCAGATTACAGTAACCAGGACTAGCGAATACCTGGGGGGGATGAGGACACGGAGATGGGGGAACAACACACAGACAGGATGGGACACACTTTTCAAATGCACCACTTTTCATACTAAAAGCTACTTTAGCTGTCCTAGGGGAATTAAATTTTTGTCTGCAGTGCCATACAGATGAGAAATTCCAACTCCATTTCACTACAGTTTTTTTTTGCCATTAGCTTCTCTGCTCTGTCTGCTTGGCTGAGGTTCAGGCTTTAGTTGGCTCAGAAAGCCTGTAAACAGTCATCTTCAGGAGATTGTTCATGCTTGTAACATGCTTAATTCTAGGTTTTACACAGCAGTATTTAAAAAATTGAATATATTATCAAGTTAAGTCAAACAATATACGCTTCCATATTAAAAAAAAACCAAGATCAATACTTTGTATCAAACTGGAAGCATCTTTGAGTTGCAGTGTAAAGTTGAGTGGCCAGTAATTTCCATTCCATTATCAATATTAATTCATTTTCACCACTAAGAACTATTTAATTCCTTCAAAGTGACAACTGCCTATTAAATAAGTCACTTAGTGGAAATCATTCTTCCTTTTTAATTCTAATTCACCATGTCATCTCATAATGCTGTCTAGGAATTGTTCAGAGAGTGACAGCACTGACACCTGAAGGAATGGTACTGACTGACACACTGTATTAGCTTAAAGCCTGTTTTGAGGGCAACAAATACAAAGTAGTGTTTGATAAATGACTCCCATTTAGTTTTTCTACTTAAACTGCAAGATTACCAAATGTCTCCTGCAAGCACATGCTGCAAGCACTTCCTCTCTTTGTCCTTGCGAGAGACAACCCGTTTGCAACACCCCATCCCTGGTCATTGACCTGAGGGTGTCAGAGGAGGGACAGCAAAAGGCTGCTTTTTGAAAAACAAAAACATAAAAAAACCCAACACACAAAAACCCCACGCCAGTTGTTCAAGGTCTCCATCTGATTATCATCCTGCCTGTGACCCATTTCCTGACTAGCCAAATGAACAATAAGCCTATAAGGTTAACTAAAAAAGATGTTCTCTCCAGCTGTGTTTAGCTGCAAAGTTCTCCAGGATGTCACTTGAAGTTTTCTATTTGTTTCTTGTAAAAGGACTAAGCAACCGACCAAGCCTGTCCCGAGATGTTTGTATGACCTGAACTTTCTAAGTTCTGCTTTAGTAATTAACTGATTTACCATAACATGATTTTCTGGATTTACTATACTATAACTTACCTTGGAAAAAACCCAAAACCAAACACAAAACTCCTCAGTTGTGGCAAGACGGGAGCGCATTCTGCAGAGAAAGCTGCCACTTAAAAAAATTTTTAGAAGTCCTTTTTATTCATAGGCCAGATCCTTTGCAAACTTTGGGAATCGCTTGACTTATGCAAGAAGTTTCCTGATCTTGGGCTCCTGGTGTGAACCATCACTATCAAAGTTTGACAGAACACAGAGCCAAACTACCGATTTTCATCCGCAGTCTACAGCGCCATGCTTAGGCCCATTTTACCAATAAAAAGAAGAAAGGCAATAATGGGCCTGAGGTGATCAAACTGGTTCCCTAAAACTCCCGATTTAGTGTGCAAAACTGCCATTTCATATTAAAAAAATGCTTAAGAGCTCAATATATCTCATGCTATTTCTTTTCCACGTGCAGATTAAGTTATGTAAAATATAAGTTGCATTATTAGCTTTGTTCAGAGTTTTAAATCCATGAGGTGGCTAAGGATACAAAACCATGGATGGGCATGAAGAGAAAAACAGAACAGGAAATTCCATGCTATGCCTCCCAGGTAAAACTACAGTAGATTCAGACATAAAACTGAGGTAATTCTTGAGAAAAAATACAGTTGAAAGAGAATGTTTAACTCATTTGAGAAAACAAGCATAATGATTATTAACCCATCTAGAAAATTTAGTGAAAGAATAAAGCTCAGAGCAAACTAGGAAATAAAGCCAAGTCAACCTAGAAGTCAGGTCGGCCCACAACTGCCGCCTCCCAGTGCCTTGTGTGAAGTGGCAACCACTACCAAGAACTCAAAAAATATCTGAAAGCTTTGAAAATGCTCTTAGTCTTCAGCCGAACAAAAGGGCTAGCTTAGAGAAATAAACCTTACATGATAAGTAAACTTGTTTGCATTGCTCTGTGTTGAAACATTCACCTTTTCAAATGCAATAATCTTAAAGAGTTTCCCCCATCTGAATATTAAGAGTCCCATAACACTTTTCCTCTTCAAGGTTAAAAATTAATAAATATTTAAAAGACAGTTGGTCCTGGCAAAAGTAAGACTTGTTACAAGAAAGCTAATTCCTGTTTAAGTTTGCTCAAAATTAAGTTAAAATTTTCCCATCTGTAAATTTTCAGCTGCTTCTTACCTCGACACTGTGTGCTTTACATAGCACTGAAATAGCCACATCTTTTCCACTCTGAAGCCTGCACAAAGAAAGCCAAGAGACTGCTACATTAGGGAACTCACAAAAATACCAACATGAACATCTGCAAGCTTCAGAGGGGAAGAAAGATTCCAGATTTTATCCAAATTAACATGAAAGGACAACAGAACAGGACTTTTTTTGACCACATTTCCCATGGGATTACCAGCTCAAGTAAAACGTTGCTTGTTTTGACAGGCCATTACAGGCTCAAAGGGGATAAGAACTCCAGGGAATCTGCTGACTTTTTACGGGTACAAACAGCCCTTCAGGTTTTATTCTTGGATAAAAACTATGACAAAAATTGCACAGTAAACTAGGTTTGAAAAATACCTAAAGGATAGCACTACAATGTTGATATAAAAGGCAGATCTTCCATTTGTCCATGTACCCCACTGTAGTAGAAATGATCCGATATGTCTGTACACAAAAAAGGCACCTGACAGTTAGTTACACAGATTGAGAGCGCTAGGAAATTAACAGTTCATATCAACATTATTCATAGCCTCTTGCAATTTTACACACAAACCTTTGCCCAAAATGGGCAACTCCAAACTTGACTGTACTCAGAATTAGATGTGCATTACTATAGGCTAAAGATCCCATTAAGACACAGATTAAAGGCTAATTTTACAGCAAGGTCTTGCTGTCCAAATACATCAGTGCAGCTGTAAAACTGGGATCTCTAGGGTGTTCGGTCTTCCTATAAGGTCAGCTGTTAGGAACTGATCAAGCAGCTGCTGTACTACCAAAACCTTTACTCAAGAGTTTAATCAGCTTTCCAACTTTTGAATATAGATAAAGCCCTGTCATGTGAGATACTGAACCTTCACAAATACTGCCAGCCGTGGGTGTGAGAACAGTGCTGAATCTCCACGAAGTACAATCTCGCTCGAGCACCCACTGTGCAGATACATGGTCAGGTGCTCTAGCACAGGCTGCTTCACCACGGAAATCAGTTTTCCCATGATGTAATACCCTTCACACATAGTGCAAAATAAACCCTTTTCCGTATCAGTGAGGCCTTAACTTCCCATCCAATTTACTCCAACACGGGTTTCCTTACACAGTTCTAGACTTTTGCCTCAGAAGACTCATGCAAAACCTCCAGACAAGAGCTGTGCATCCACCTTGGTAAGCGGATTCCAGACCCTTGGCAAAGCTGAACGCGCACACAAGATCTGGTTATATTCCTAAGGGTTAAGAATGGAACTTCCATTAACATTCTCCAATACAGCTGCCAATCTCATTATGTTCAGATTAGTTTGATCGATTCAGCACCTCCAAACTACAGAAAAGGCAGTTTGTACGACTAGTGTCTCTGAAAAATGAGCATGTTCATTTAAAACAATGTGTCTTCCATACACGGTTTGTTAGAGATTTCTTTTTTCTAAGAAGGCAGAAGGTGGTTGTGTTATTCAGCGTTCCAAACTAGGTACGGAACCTACAACGGCCATGTTTCAGTAGTGTTTCTAGTCCAAATGATTCAGTAGCTAACATCAACATTTGACTCCTTCGGCCTATAGCTCCTCTGTTTGGACTGGCTAGTTTACAGCATTCCTGAGCCAAGTAATTAGCATGGGTCCTACACCACATGCAAGGGCCATAAAGAAAGGATAAAAACTTTGATCTAACCCTCCGGCAAATTTGAACAGAATATTGGCTGCTCTCCTTCACTGCAACATAATATCCTTCAGATTCTCCTGAAGGATCGTGTCCTTCACGGCATGAAACACAAAGCGGATGTTTTCAGTGTCTATGGCAGTGGTGAAAAAGAGGGGCTTACTACGGTTTCTCCTCTTTCTGTCAAAGCACTGCACCAGGTAACGTTGAACATCATCTAGCCTGTGAGGGTCGCCTTTGAAGTCCGAGAAATACTTCTTAATGCTGACAGTCTTTACCTTCTCTACAAGAAGATCCATCTTGTTGAGGAATAGGATAATAGAAACATTAAAGAAAAGCTTGTTATTGACTATTGTCTCAAAGATATTCATGGACTCCACAAGTCTATTTGTGCGCCTGTCTTCCATGAGAACCTGATCGTATTCACTGGAGGAGACCATAAACAAAATTGAAGTTATTCCATCAAAGCACTGGAACCACTTTTGACGCTGAGATCTCTGTCCACCTACATCCACCATCTTGAAGGGTATTTTTTTAATGATGAAATCATGCTCTACTATCCCCTTGGTGGCTTTTCTAGCCAGCAAAATATCTTGTTTGCTGGGAAAATAATTCTGTAAAAGAAAGGAGAAAAGTGTCAAAAAAAGTCCTCCAAAAATCCTGGCTAATGCCACAGTATTGAAGCAATGGCAAAAATCAACAACAGCCATGGGTTTTTTAATCCTTAAGTGCAGGACGAACACTCAGCTTTAAAATAACAGACTGTTGACCATTTATCTCAACACACTGATAAACAGCTACAGAAGATCCTGAGACATGAGAATAAAAACATAGGACTAATGCACTTGTTTACCTTTTTATCCTTCAAGCCTCTCATTTTCAGGCTGAATTCTGTTTTCTCATTATGAAATTCTTAGCTACACCACTTGCCATTTAGGTAGTGTTCAGTAAAGCAGATCAACTCATCACTAAGAGGATTTCTTTTTTTTTTTAAATCTAGTTTTTCACAGTTCATTACTCGTACAAAGGACATCTTGCAAGCTTTAGTGGAAATACTTCTTCCAGGCTCACACTCCATGACCAGCAAGTACAGCAACATGTTCTACTGCAGGTTGTGGCCCAACCCACCACTCTTGCGAGATTTGCTCTTCAGAAGCTTATCACCGTTACTATTAGGGAGAAACATCTCGCTTCTCCTCCAAGTCTCCTGACATATGTTTCATTACAGATTTTGAATCCTACCAGTGCTAGTAATTTTTTTGGTATTATTTGGTAAGGTTTCATTCTGCTACCTTAAGTAACACCAGCCATCAGATCAATGTGAACCATCAGATCAAAGTGAATGAGATCCAGAGACTGAGCAGAAAGTGTGATATGAGAAAATACGTGCATAAATGCAGCTTCGATAAACAGTATTTGTTGTCTCAAAAAAAAATTACAACTTCAATAAACAGTATTTGTTGTCTCAAAAAAAAATTAAGCAAATACTTTCAGTTTCCTAAGGCTGGAGTTTACTATTTCTAGAGAAAGAACATGGAAGTTATTCAGTTCATTAACAAACCCC